GACTCTGTGTGTGTCTATGTGTTTGTTTGTCTGTCTGTCTGTGTGTCTGTGTGTCTGTTTGTGTGTATGTCGGTACCGTAATCCGTTTATCGACTGACAGCTAAGCCGCTGTTTATTTGTGTGTGTGTGTGTGTGTGTGTGTGTGTGTGTGTGTGTGTGTGTGTGTCTGTCTGTCTGTCTGTCTGTGTGTGTGTCTGTTTGTGTGTATGTTTGGTACCGTAATCCGTTTAGCGACTGACAGCTAAGACGCTGTGCATGTCTGTGTGTGTGTGTGTGTGTCTATATGTCTGTCTGTCTGTGTGTCTGTTTGTGTGTATGTTTGGTACCGTAATCCGTTTAACGACTGACAGCTAAGCCGCCGTGAGGTCACGACAGGCCTGAGGCTGTAGATTAGGGACAGGTTCCGTGTCTGATGACCGCTGTCCACCGACACACGAACAGTTTGCCACCGCTCGTGGGTGGTTGGCGGGTACTCTGCTGAGTTTGCTCCTTTTTTCCTATCCGACATCTATCGTCCTTATCTCTCCTCTTTCTTTTTTCGTGTATGTTACTCTCTTGTAACACATCTATTCTTCGGCACCTAAATGACCTTATTGTGTTGCAAGTGCCGTAAAACTCACTACTAAAACTAAACTAAAACGTTTACCGCTCGTGTCGTGACTTCGTCGCGTGTGGTGAGCTTTGCTGTGGTCTGTCTACGTTAGTCGGTGGTTGGCGGGTGCTCTGGTATGGTTTGCTCTTTCTTTCCTATCATCAAACGTCTATCGTCCTCATCTCTCCTCCTTCTTTTTCTGTTTGGTGTTTGTTACTCTCTGTAATACATATATTCTATTCTTCGGCACTTACATGACCTTCTCATGTTGCGAGTTCTGAGATGGAGACTGTTGGTATATACCTGCCGTGGGTGGTTGGCGGGTGCTCTGGTGTGGTTTGCTCCTTCTTTTCTATCAGACATCTTTCGTCCTTGTCTCTCCTCCTTTTTTGTGTTTGTTACTCTCTTGTAACAGGACATCTATTCTTTGGCACTTCTATGACCTTAATGTGTTGCAACGAAGAACATGTTAATAATAGCATCCCCCGTTTGGGAATGACCTAAAGACACTTCAGTCAGTACCACTGCCCTATGGAGCGGGGAGCGGGGAGCGGGGG